TAGAAATTAGACATAAAACTGTTCATACTTAGACAGCTGTATTAAAGCCACAAGCCTAATCAGTAAAGTATATCTTATTATTCATTAAAAAAGGAGGGGAGATTAAATCAAGAAGAAATTAAAGAGGAGGTAGTGCTGCTCTGTTTGACTTAAGTTTTATGAGCCAATGTACGAATGGAAAGCAGAGAAGATACACATAAAAACGGCTCTCGCTCATACATTATTCATGCCTTGTAGCTTCTGGGTGTTCCACATGAGCGGCCACAGTTAGAGCTAGCACCAGGTTTTGGCCAAACAAGATGCTACTGAGTACGTAGGAGGGTCAGAAATGTGTGTGTGTCTGTCTGTCTGTGTGTTCACAAGGATGGCCTGAAGGATTGAAAGAGGAATAGCAACAGAGAAAAGCATGAAACTATAAAATACAGATGGAAGAATGCAGTTGTGAGTCGGTGCTACTTTGCTCAAATGACACACACACAAGCCCCGGCAGCATGCACAAACACATGTACCGACACACAACAGCTCAGACTGCTGGCGTGAATGTTAACTTGTCTGGATTTTTGTTTGTCCCCTTGCAGGCTACAGTACAAACACTTTACAGATGTTTAGAAAGGCAAACTGTTCGGGCTAAAAACACACAATAAATAAGAAATGTATCCTGACGATGCTAGCAGAAACTTTATTTGTGCTCCTGAGAAGTCAATAAGTTCAAGTTCAAGAATCTGTATTGTCCCCGAGGGGCAATTTGTTTCACAGTCAGTAGATACAAAAAAATATTCACACTAGACAAGACATTGAGATAATACATGACATCATCAATGTTGGTTGAGAAGCCTGATTGCTACAGAATGAATGAGTTTTTCAGGTTACTTCCATCTGGGCGGCAGATATCTGCATCCAGATGGAAGCAACCTGAACTCACCATGGAGTGGATGATCAGGATCTGCCAGAATAATTCCATTTTAGGACACTACATACTGGTATATGTGCATTTATAGATGCCATGCTGTTTCGTAATGAGAAATGATATCATGGTTGTGCTTAATAAGAGTAAGACACTTCAGAAACGTTTATAGTTTTATTTAAGTGCGTTTTTAAGCTACTCGAGTCATTTTGTCCTCATCGTCTTTGTGTCAGAAAATTATTAAAATAAAGCAAGAGAAGAGCAGATTAGAGCACAACATGTCCAAGATTCAAGACTGGAGCGGCCAGCGGGCGGCCAGCGGGCGGCACTTTATTTTTCACAGACAGGCCTTCAGAGGAGCGTGTCGGAAAAACCTCAGGAGAGTTTGACCTTTGGCCTCAATATAGGCACATGTACATGCCAATCGAGCCGATTTAATGTGCAATGGAATCAGGCGACATCTTTCAAAGATGTCAGAGCTGTAGGAGGTGAAAATGGTCCATGTGAAATGCCACTAAGACGTGAAAAGAGATGTTCAAGAAGTGTGTCTGTTATCACTCCTTAATACTGATATTCTACCTGCCAACACGTGGATCTATTTACAGACCTTTAATGAACCCAGTTTATTTGAGTGTGTTTCAATATTTACAGAAACCTTTAGTCTGAAGTCCATCTAATACAAATTATCTTAAAGTCCTTTTTATCAACAGCCATCAAAAGGCAAAGATACATGGACGTTTTTACTGGTGTCTGTGTGTGTAACGGTTACCAGAATATCTCATGAACAACCAGACAAATTTGAATGAAACTTGTCCTAATGTATGCTCAATAATCCAGGTAGATAAATCTAACCAGGTTAACTCGGGTCCTTTGAAGAATCCGTCCAGAGGACCTGACTCTACCCTGTAGGATTTAATGAAACTTGCAAATCATTGGATCTACATCAACTATCGATCGACTTTTGGAGTCAATTTTATTCAAGGTGGCTAGTATTTAAATCAAAGTTTCTCAGCTTACTGCTATTCTTGGTAAAATAATGCACTTTGGTTTTCTATCTTATATTTAAAGTCTTATTCAAAGCGTACGTTCCTACCACCAAACCTCCCATCACACAGCAGGATACACATGTTGCATGAGGATCTAAACCTGCTGCCAGCGTCGCTTACCTGTCTCACTTCAGACAGCCAGAGAACGCTGTGCGAGCTGCAAACAAGAGGCATACGCTTTGAAAACAAAGGCGCTGTCATGCCACAACTTTCTGGGGAAATAAACTCTTCAGTTCGCCCGCGTAAAGAGGAAAATAAAGCTCGTCGGGGTGCTCTTTCTGTCACGAGTCTTCTTTTCAGCACCTGTTCTTTTCTATGCTGTCTTTATTTCACAGGCTTCCCCTCTTGATGACTTCCCTGGGTTTCTTTGCCCAAGTTTCCTCTATGTGTTTTTAATTCTCTTCTTTGGCAGGGATGTGGTAGGGTAGACATGGCGAGTCAGGATGCATGAAAGGAATGCGTCAAAAGACTCAATGGTAGAAGTACAAGAAGGTGACAAGCAGGGAGACGGACAGCAGAATCAGATGGCATTGTGCAAAACTTGAATTAAAAATAAAATTTTTCATTGAGTTTAATACTTCTTGTATGAAAGTCTAAAATAATGATAAAAATAATAATTTCCATCAAAGTGTTCAAATTGATTACTGTGTTCTTGAGGCGTTTTAGTCTGTGGGAGTGACAAATGACGACAGCGCAAGAGAATTAATTACAAGGAGATAAAAAAAAAGACATCAAAACTAAAAAGAAGACATGTAGGTGTTGATTTTAAATATCCAGCCTTACCACCAGCTACTGCACTTTATATGAAATTGCCATGAAAAGAACAAACTTCATGAAAGAAAGCCGACGCCATCAAGCTCGTGAATAAAGCTCCACACAGACACAGCAGCAGCAGCGGCACCAAACAAACTGCTAATAAAACTAAGAAAACAGCAATAAAGCCAAGTCATTCTTTCCTCGCTCTCGGCAGTCAATCACACGCCCACACTTTGCACATACTGAGACTCTCCTTGGTGACACCAAATGCCTCCCATCGCCTCATAACCACCACCTCCTACTTCCTCGTTAGTTTTGGCTTAGCTGCTTATCTCTTAAGTGTTGTGGAATTTGGCAAAGCGGAACCCGGCTGTTGATGGCAGGAGCTGCGTGAGCGCCATTGTTGCCAGTTGCCGGCCCGGCTTTAAACAAAACAAAAAAAAAAGAGAGAGAGAGAGAGAAAGACACATGGGAAGAGGAGGCTGCAGCAGTGTGGGTTGATGCAAGGGAGTGAAAGATGAGGGGAACCATATGGGGAGGCTGTGATGTCAACGAGGCACAACAGCTCTGGAAAGAGAACAAACTTTGGCACAATAGAGCCTCTTGTGGGGGGGTCAGCGTCAACTTTTACACCCCAAGAGTGGAACTCCAATCGAGCAATTACACATGATGGAGGAGACGGAGGAAAGAGACCTTCCATCAGCCTGCCAGGCAGCCAGATCTGCTCCAACAAAACCCTCTTTCTCCTCGTCAAGCCTTGGCCCCTTAAACACTGGGCCATGGACACATTCTTCAGTGACATAATGCTTTTTTAAGCAATTGCCCTCTTCAACTCCCCAACTCTGCTACCTCCTCCTCTTTGCCCTGGTTTAGATTTGCCGATTGCTATTTAAATATGAATGCCAGCAGAGGGATTTGAAGTGTTTGTTTTGATCCTTGTGAAGGAAGGAGATCAGCGTTCAAGTCGACGCCAAACGGTCCTTGGTCTTATTGATGCGTCCGCTGGTAGGTGTTTGCTGAATGGCCTCTAATGGCTGTAAAAGCTGCCATTCTGCAGGGCAATAGAAAAAAATAAAAAAAACTGGCTGCCCCACCCCCACTTCCACAGCAGACCCGAGTGAAATGGGTCGCTCACAAGAGGCGATGTCAACACGGCTAGTGGAGCATTTGTTTGATGATTTGGAAAGATACAGTGGAAATTGAGTTCTGAGAATGGCTTTTGTAGATTTAGGTAATGTTCTAACAAACGTCTCCTTTTGGATGAGAAATCTGTGCTAGCGTTCTTCACGGCTCCAAGCCTGCAGGGTCATTTAGGATGACGCACATCCCCAGGAGCAATGAGACCACCAGCAACATCCAGCATCCCATAATGACCTCTAACATACAGAAAAATACACGGTTCAGCAGCATGAAGATAACAGACACAAGACAGCCTAATTTACTCACAGTAAATGGCAAGTCCACTTCACAGAAACAAACAGAGATGAGTGATTTATTTTAGCTGTTTACAGAAGTTTTACTTCAAGGCTGAAACGTCTGCAGCCGACTTGAGGAATGTAAAGTTAGCAAGCATGCAAAAAGAACAAACAACCCTCATCTCACTCCTTCGTGAAAACGTCTTTCTGAATATGATATAGACCATGAAAGAAAATGTTCAGCGTTGTATAAACTGCATGCACACATCAAAGTTACTGTACCAGTTTATTAAGTTAAAATGAACTAAAGTTCAACATGACCCCCTTTTGACTCAGTTTGGGTCTCCTCCAAATTCTGAAGAAAATATTTGACTTTGTCATGTTTATTTTAACTAAATGTTCAGCCTGACATTTTGTGCTGTGAAAAAATTTAAAGGAGAGTTTAGCTGGAAACAGATGTTCTTAGGACATCAATGGTGAAAGATCAGTTTTGTTGTGCACCACTGAAGAAAATGGCAAACTTTGCTTCAATAAGCAATCAGGAGTTTTGCTACGCAGTACACTTTCACGGACTTACTGTTTCGCGGATTTTCAACGCAAGATTGTACACGACAAACGATTGGCTGATTGATGGAAGACGACCAACCAGAGCATTGTGCTCTGTATCCCAGGTGCTGATTGGCTCAGTAATCGTAACATCAGTCTTACTTCGCTTTTTAGTGAAATTTTCATGGTATGGCAAAAATACCAGCTGCCATTACGGGATCAACATTAAGGACTGGGCGGCCTGGTCCCCGTCCAGAGATAGTATCTCTGGCGTCCACACGGCCCTGTCCACCCTCTACATCTGCACGCTTCAGGAGCACATCCGAGGGGCACCTTCTCCCGTCAAGCCCACGGGGCGTGGCTGCCAGTGGAGACCTTCCACTGCACTCCCTCATGCTCGCCTCCATGGGACTGACGGAGGAGACCCGCTCCAGCAGGGGAAGGACGGTAGAGGCCACCATGCGGGTGACGTGTCAGCCCTCCAGGAGCGAGCTAAGGCAATGTAAACTTTATTATCCCTGAGGGGCAATTTATTATGCAGACAACTAATAATATTTAAGACCTCAGATCTGTTAGCCTTTAAAGTGTGTGTTGAGGATGACTCTAAGCTACCAGCACACTAAGTTTTAGCTCAATATCTGTAAAACTGCCTGAGTTTGAGTCATTTTTGTGTTACGAGTTATATTTGTACACCCAATAATTACTTTCTGAAAGTTCCAGCAGCAAGAAGGTGCCAGCTCTCAGGGCAACTCCCGTCAATTTGTATATCCAGGTATTTTTAAAGTGATTGATGGAAAAAAAAGAATGTCACCAGATACACGTGAGAAATGCTCAAACACTGAAGCCAAATCTCAGACTTTCCTTTACCATAAGGTGAAAAGCCAAGACCTAAACTCAGAGTTGTTCTCCCGAACTTGCAGGCAGCAGTCCAAGCCTCCTCTCCTCCATCGTCAGCAGGGAATTTAATGAGAGCCAATCAGTCCTTCCTGATCATCACTTTCTCTCCCAGCTAGTCCAAAACCTGTCTCATTTAATTGAATTCACACAACCCAGTGAGGTTCTTCTCTTCGTTCTTGTTCTTTTCCTGTTCAGTGCTGTCAGAACGTTCTCCTCAAAACTGCTCAGCTCCTCACTTTACCTCTGCCTGCAAACTTTTACATCCCCAGATCAGCACTAGTTAAGGATGAGAGCGTCTTCGAGCCTGACAGACAGAAGACGAGTTTACAAGTTTTAATGCCGTCTCTCTCATTAGCTCGGACTTCCTGACAGTCCTGGGGATGGGAGACATTTTGATGCCTTATTATTAATCCTCACTCTCAATTACAACAAGCCCAACAAGCATTAGAAGCAGTTTTTCTTCCTTCCAAAGTGGAGACGAGCAGCTTCTTAATGGAAGAAATGATTCCAGAGGCCTGTCCCACTGCTGTACTCCTCGTTGATTTTCATTTCGGGGGCTTCTCTCACAGCTGACTAATCTTTCTACCTAACAGCAGCTGCTCTGAGAAGGTGGGGGTGCAGCCGGGTTGTGCACATGGACTTCACTGTCTGATCCCGTGAGTGACCCGAGTTTGTGTCCGATCACCACCACCCCCACCCTTCAATTCTTCTCTCTCTTGCTTCCCACCCCTCCACCACCTCTGAGACTGGGGAGGTGGTGGGGGGGGGGGGGGTAGCTTGGCTGGGTCGGTAATCCCTCAGTGAATGTGGGTCAGTGAGCGGGGCCTTTGTATTCGTCACTCAGCAAGGGGACAGACAGCCGGGTCACGGCCCCAGCCATCATGTGTGCACTCACCAACACACTTACAAGCCTGCACATGAAGACCAAACACACACACACACACACATGTATGAGGAAAACCTGCAGAGACGAGAACAAAAAGCGACGCAAACCTCTGATGTATCTGAGCAGCACCGTGAGGACCAGACGTGTTGATCCACATTTGAAACTTTACTGCTGTGACAACAAAATTAATTCAAATCAGTTTATTTATAAAGCACCAAGTCACAACAGAAGTCGTCTCAGGGTACTGAACAGAAACGTTCATATAAGTTAATAACATTATTTATCTCAGGAGCTGACTGCTTTAAGTTCAACTTCATCACAGAACTCTCATCTTGAGCAAGCATGAAGGCGACAGTGGAAAGGAAAAACTCCTTCATGAGGAAAAAATCAACCAGGATCGGGACAAGCGGTCATCTGCTTCGATCAGCTGGGTTTGAGAGGAACAGATACACAATGGCAGGTCAAGAATTATATTAAAATAGAAATAATTTGTCATGAAAACTATTCAATTGCAGCTATTTATTTGAAGAAATGTGGTCAATTTGTCCTCCAGTAGTCTAAGCCTATAGCAGCATAACAAGCCAACCTTAACTGGAGTTAGTAGGAGAGATCTTCTCTCCAGTTTTAGCTTCTCTCCACTGGCTCCCTGTCAATTCCAGAATTGAATTCAAAATCTTACTTCTAACCTACAAAGCTCTCAACAACCTAGCTCCATCTTATATTAGAGATCTTATCGTTCCATATTTCACCAACAGAGCAATTCGCTCTCAGACTGCAGGCTTACTTGTGGTTCCTAGAGTTACCAAAAGCAGAATGGGAGGAAGATCTTTCAGTTCTCAGGCTCCTCTCTCATGGAACCAACTTCCAGTTTCAGTCCGTAAGGCTGACACATTGTCCAGTTTTAAGACTGGACTTATGGCAATAAAACCTATACAGTCGTTAAGACTCTGGCAGCAACATTTTGGATTAACCGAAGACTTTTTAAAGAAGTTTTTGGACACCCATATAAACCATTGCAATAGTCTAGTCTAGGCATGACAAATGCATGAACCAGTTTTTCTGCATCTTTTTTTAGATGTTTCTAATTTTAGTGATATTACGCAGATGGAAGGTGGTGGTTCTGGTAATGTTCTGGTAACCCACACATTTACTTTTTAGCAAGAGGCCACACATTTTGTCTTTTCAAAAACAAAAAAAAAAAGAAAGATGCATTTGTAAAATCTGAAGCCAGATGGATCGGTAGCATCGTAACAATGTAAGGTTCCTTAGATTAATGAGAGGGTTCTAAGGGCTTGCAGCTCCTTGGCTCTTGACTTACAGTCACAGGGGTTCAAAGGCCACCCTACACATTAGGACACACCTTCAGGAAGTCAATAGGTTATCAGTTGTTTACAGTAGACAAAACATTTGCTGGAGTTTCAAAAATGCAACATTATTTAACTTATTTGTTTGTTTTTGTCAACAAAAAAAAAAAGACACCAAACATAATAAATCAGAATAACATCAGACTAGACGAGCATGAGTTTTCACAAGAAGTAAACTTATTTTTGCGAGTTCTGTTTCAAGTCTAATCCTTGTACCACTTTCTTAGACGTGTGCCCCAGAAAGTAAATCTCCATTTGCGGGGTCAGACAGCTCCATCACTTGGCCCTCCACCTGGATCAGACTGAAATGGGATTAACCCGGAACCTTTTGCTCCATATTTCAACACAGCAGAAATAAAACTCCTGAAAAGCAAGAAACATGCATGACTGCATGGGTGATAAACACAAGATAACCGTGTCCTTTATACCGGTACCTTAAAGCAGTGGTTCCCAACCCTGGTCCCTGAGGAACACCAATGTGCATGTTAGTTTCCCTGCTTCACCACCTGATTCAGTGATTTAATTACTTCCTCAAGTTCTGCCAAAGCCCGTTAATCACCAAATAATTCAAATCATGTGTGTCAAAGCAGGGAAAGAGCTAAAACATGCAGGATGGTGTTCCTCAAGGACCAGGATTGGGAACCACTGCAAGGCTGAATGTGAATCATCGCAATCCCAAAGTGGCAGGTCATACAAGGTCAGAGGCTACACATCAAAGCATTTATGTGCGATTCAGAACCAACTTTAGGAACAGAAGTGTGCTCAGCAACAATCACTTGAAAGGATAATTTGCTACAGAGTTTGTGTAAATTATCTGATGAAACCTTGTGAGCTTAAAGAGAAGGAATGTGAACTTCCTTTCATGGTTCTTGAAGAAACACTTGTTCAAAAGGACTCCTAACCTCTTCAGAGCTACAGAAGATGAAGTGTGCAGTTGGGTTTTGTGCACACATTTAAGAATAGCCTAATGGGGTCTTTTTTAGATGTTGGGAAGTGGGGACTTGCCCGCTGGCGTACTTGTACTTGTTATAAGTTGAGAGTGAGGAAAAGGACAACAGACACTCAGATTAGACTATTTAATTACTTTTTGTGTCCTGAGCGTGATTTAAATTTCAACCCTATTGTGAGTATTTAACATTTTCTTTTTAATATAATAACAGAGTGGATATACAGTCTTAAAATTTGATTTGTATGAAGTTAAAAGCTTTTAACTTGGATTTGTCAAAGCTGGAGGTCTAGAAGAAGCTTTTAAACAGGCAGACTGAGTCAAAAAGAAGCCAGTGACACGACACGGTAACGAGTTTTACAAGTCAAACACACAACTGGGACGGCTGTAATGAGTAGAGAGAAAGGCAACGAGAGTGGAAGTAAAGTGGATTTGAGATGCTTGGTCAGCCCGATAAGATAAAACAACAAACAGAGGTTTTATGTGGTTATAGGCTTAAATTTACCTCACACACATACACACACCAAAATATCAAAGAGCCCCAATTTACGCTGCAAACTAATTATCCTCCACATCATTAACATTCTCCATCACGAGCTGGGTGCTTTATCTCAGAGGGAGCAGGCAATAATGAAACCTTCATGATTTATTAATCTGGCTACAGAAAAAAACAAACAAACAATGGCGACCTGAGAAGTGTAACACCCTCTCGACTGTTGGCTTCTGCTGCTCTACAAATCTTTAACAGGAGTCCGCTATCAGGCGCTGACATTCACGTGAGAACCGCTGTTCCCACTCATAATAACAGTGTTTCATCGAGATAAGGCGGAGAGGAAGCGTCGCTGCTTTTCTTCGCTCGGCTCCCATCAGCTACCGTCTCTCATTCTGTGTCAACAATGTGTCAACAATGTGTCAACAATGTGTCAACGGCCACATTGGCAGGGGTGGAAAAGCGGTGAAGTCAAAACCCAAATGACACGCATGTCTCCATGTTGGTGTGAATGGAAAGAGAGGGGTGTGAAACAGGAAAAAGATGTTGGAAAATTAAAGAAGGTTAGAGGAGTTAGGATAGGTTTGGTTTATTCGTCATATGCAGGTCAACACAAGGTCAACAGTGCGATGAAATGCTGAGGACAAGAAGAACCGACTTGACTCGACAAAAAAAAAAACATTTTTTAAAGAAATACCAAAGCATGCAACAAAAATACAAAAACACTGTGCCAAAAGTGAAATACATCTACAGCAGCATGGTCTTATTATCAGTGTGGTCTTGTTAGCGGTGTGGTCTTGTTAGCAGTGTGGTTTTGTTAGCATTGTGGTCCCGTTAGTGGC